TCGCAACCCTCAAGGACCCTCATAACTCCACGCGACATCCTCGAAAACCAAGAGGAGAACAAAAAAGATACAGTCATCCCCATCCGGATCTTACCAGAGAACAGGCGCGAGATTGGCGTCGAGTACACACCAACACATACCCACGCTTACCAAAGAAAATACTACATAAATCCCACAGTATACGCACGAAGCTGTCCGTGGTGTGGCGAACAGCCAATTCTCGCACACATTACGTGGGAATGCAATCATGGCCCCAAAATGTCAATTCTCCCCTTTAGGGGCAACAACTCGACCGAGGCTGTAGGATACCTGGCTTGCTAGCAAGGATCGAGAAAGCCAGAAAGTCAGCTGGCTTTGCTCAACCAGGCCCAGCGAGCCGCAAAGAGCCAGTGGAAGCCCTAGACTGAGGACCTCACCACTTGCCAGAAACCTTTTATGGAATAAAAAGAAAAGTTTATTATTTCTCTTGTATCCTACTCTCTGATTCCTTAACCGATAGACCCCGACCATTTGCAGTTGTGCCCAAAATGTGGCCACAACTTGTGTTCGTTTCATCCTATGCTCTGGCTGTGCCCAGCCCTAACCGTCTTTTCGCCCGTCACGAAAGATCAATGGGATGCATCTCTGAAGGGCACCAGCCTTCACACACAACTCCCAGGCCGTACAGAGGACCCACGACATCACGATTAAAATTCGACTTCCGGTCCCATTGTGGGCGGAGCCACAGACTTGATATGGTGGGAGGCTTATGGCTCCTATAAATATCTCTCCCCCAGGACCTAAATAACTTCTTGTCATGTCATGTCTGCGCATAGTCTGCGCAATCAAGTTGTCACTATGATGGTGCCAGTGTGACCATTACTCTATGGTGTGACTGTCAAGCGTTTGATGCGGTGAACGCTTGCGTGGCCAAAGCGAGAGAGCACCCCTGCGCACATACGATGCGCTTTTTATCGCTCTCTGTGCCCGTACACACACTTCTCCTGAAACGCCGACTGTGTTTTACAGTATTCCTGTGCGACCCGGACCGCGTGTCACTGGCACGCTGGTGCGCGTTCCTTGCAGTGCACTTGGGAGTGTTTCCGTGCTCTTGTGGAACACGGACAGCATTCCTCGTCGACGAGCACCGCTTGAGAGAGCTCAGCTGATGGCGTTTCTTGCACTGCTAGTCCCCAGTCATGATAGGATGCACTTCTGCATTCAGTGAAGCGACAAACAAATGTAAGAAGACGCCTCTGGTTTGAGAACACCGCCTAACTTAGTCAACTGTCCTTGACGCGATGACTGGTTTCATCGTAACCAATGAAACGCAGCACCCTGGGAGTGGATTTGATGTCTTCGTACTGTTGGCTTATTCATGAGGGGGTGTCCTTAGAGCTCGGGAAGATCCCGAGTTTCGCGAAACTCGGCTGATCCTGCATAGCGCCCCTGGTGTAGCTCTGTGGTAGAATGCTTCATTGCCACGCAGAATGCTTGGGTGCGATTCCAGCTAGGACCCTTACATTTATTCTTTGCGTTCGTCGGGTCTACGCTACTGATGTCAGGTATTTCTTAATGCTTGTGCGTTAAAATTGCCCATGTGTGTTCTTGTTGTTCCTCGGTAGATACTAAGTGTCAATCACCTGTGGTGTATACACACATATAAGTGTTACCTCCCGCGTTACCTCCCTCAATTTTACTTGCATAGATCAGGCATATTGAATTCCCCTATGTGCATTTACTGTAATCAAGAGAAAATGATCAGTCATTTTTTATTACATTGTCGCCGTTTCGATTTATTCCGGCAAAGCATACTAGCACCACCTCTTCAAAGACTGGCTAGCAACTATCACAACCTGATCTTCTTTCATTTCGAGCCTCTACACTGGGTTTCAGCCACAGGGATGTTTTATTCGCCGTTCAAGAATACATCACTGCGACCTAAACGATTTTCTTGCTAAATTGCTGTCTCACTATTTTTCTTCTTTTTTTTTCTGCAAACTTGATATCGGTATTTCAAATCAAAATTAAGTTACAAAAAAATTGTAGGAATGACGCAATGCTGAAAGTTTAGGGCAAATTCACCTTATAATCGGCCAATCCCCTTCTTTGGGTACGAGCCATTTGCACAGGGAAACAACAACAACAACAACACACATATCAGTAGCACATACTCGCCCGTGGGTGTGTGCCACTGTCTGGCGGGAAGTGTGTGATGACATACGTGACGGGAATGTTACATTCACGTTTTGACCAGCGTGACATATTCGTCGAACCATCTTACCCTCCCATGCTAATTTTCGTTAACGCCAAGTTAAGGGGGTGACCACGCGAGCACCCAAATGTGAGCGGCTATATAGATAGATACACTCAAAGTCACTACAGTTCGCTAAGAAATGCTTTGCACTTAAAATACATGCACAAACTAATTAACATAGGCTAATTAGTGCACTGCTATTTCAAAAGAAGCAGTCGGCTGAATCGCCCACAGTGCCAACAATGTGGCAGTTCACATTAGCATTTGCAGAGCCTGCCAAACCATCTGACGGGCCACCTAGCAATTCGGGAGATTCGTAAAGTGAGAACGAAAGAGAGTGGCAAAGAAAGAGAACCGACGCATCCATGGTTTTGTTTATATTGATACGGTATGAGCGGTATGTAAATAAACATAGTTAAACTCAATCTAACCGTAACAATATTGTTTCACACCGTGCTCAATAATTGCCAGTAATTTTTTTGGCTTATAGACGATCGGAAATATTCTACGATGCCGGTACAGTCACCGGCATTCTGGTTCCTGAGATAAGTGATAAGTGCGCGACCACTGGCGAAGCTTTGTCTGCATTCACCTTTGAAAAGAAAATTCTAAAGTTCGGTACTCGTTACTATATGGCTTATGTATGCATCAGTAATGAAGAAAAAATTTTGCTGTCTCCTGTGACAGCGAGTACACTTTACCGCATAGCAAAAGTGTGCTGCGCCAAAGTGGCTCAAAAAGTGTGCTGTACGTAATAGAATGCCAGAAAATTGTATAGCCACTGTCCCCTCGCCCTCCTTTTTTTCTTTATATAGCAGTCAGGATGGGTACAGTAATCTAGTAGTTAGGATTATGGTCTGTGTGTCTGGATTTAACTGGATGATGATGCTCGAGCTGCAGGTGATTAACGCATTCTCCATTTCTTGCTAAAATGAAAAAAAGCCCTGCAACACTTTTGAGCATGGTCAGAAAAGTCGGCTGCTTGGTAGCCATCGCTCCCGAGAACACGTAAGCCAAATATTGTCACGACGTCAAAACAGAGGTCTTGCCGTAGAGACTGAGACACCAGAAGCAGGTCAATTTTTTTAATTAGAACGCGCAAGCGAGTTCTTCTTCTTCGTCCATTTCGTAGTTCTTCGTGGCACATGCACAACTGTCATCGTCTTTCTTGAGCAAGCACGTGACATTTGCCTCCCTCCGAAAGAAGCATCGTCCCGATGCGCAACTTAGGTGCTCTACCAGGCGTATGAAGTGGTCGTACGAAAACGGTAACCGGGAGCTAATTAACTCGATAAATACGGTTTCATACGCACGACGTGCTTGACTTCGGGCAACGCTTTTGGCGCTTAGAACTACCACGGCCGCTGGATCAAAGCGCACAGGGTGCGGCCTGCTGCGTGCGCCCGAAACAGCGGGAGAGGCCGAGTTCATTCGCCTGCCGCCGCGGCGCCACCGGTCAAGGACAATAAAAAGCGGCGGAGTAGCGGTGCGCGCGCGAATTCCTGGGATGTTTTAACTCGCGACTCTTCGTGCTGCAAGCGGACACTTTGAATTTGATATCCTCTTAGTGCTTTGTTCCACCCTACTACGGGACCCATTCCCTTGTGATAAATGGTTTATCGCTACTAAGGGAGACGGAGTGGCCTCGACTAAGCCATCCCGCCCCTGCGACAGTCAGCTTTAAATTCATGCTTATGACAAGTTTGCCCCGTCCTCAGGCCACAGGATTAATACACGTATTTCATATTATTTTAAAAAGGACTTGAAAGAACTTTCAGACCCCTTTTACGGCATTTAACTATAGCACAACGTTTTAGCTTCTCGTTAAAATTACTTTTGAATAAAGGCCATGATTTTATGTTTACCTTTGTCCGCTGGCGCGACGGTGGATTACATAACCTTAAATTCATTACAGAGTATTTCAGGAGCTATAATAACTCTAAGTTAGCATCCGTCTGCATATTTCCCGTTCGAAGACTGTTGAATGTGAAATTGTCTTCTTTGCTGTGCATATGGAAATAATGAAAATGCCGGGTATTGTCCTTACAATGAAACGTGCGTTTAATAACTGGAGCTCTACAATCTCTAAAAGATCAGTATATTTTCTAATACAGCAGAACAATTTTGCCTGCATTACAAGGTAAAAAAAATGGAGGTGCCATGGTCCTCAAAGGCGCAGAACTTTTCTGGAGAGGGGCTTGTGTGCCAGCCTTACAAGACGTTGCACAAGGCACTCACATTCCCTGCCCAGTTAGCTAGGAGTGGTCGAAGCAGCTTTAAAAAAACATCACAGATCTGGTTCGTGTGCTGAAGGCTGCCCGAACCACACCGTAGTGCAGGGCAGGTAACCAAATATGTGGAAGGAAGGCTGAGTGAAGAAGTTTACACAGATTTCCACTTCTTCGAACTTCAGTGTCTTTCATCACTTCACTGACAAAGTCACATGCGAGTTTGCAAATTTTCATGATCTCCATGTCGGGATACCTAAGTTGTCCGTTATCGATTTTCTTCACTAAATCGTAGATGCTGCCACACGGTTTCGTCTCTTGCAGGAGAACCTTGCATGATTTACAGGGCAACTGCAAGTAATAAAATCAAGCCAAGTAAAATTTTCATCAAAAGTACTATGCAACAAGTATGTAGGCTCCTTTTCTTACTTCGCTTAGCTAAAGAAAAATATTACCTAAATTTCGTAAGAGTGGGAATGAAACAACCTGTGGCAAAAAGAGTGGCATTCACGCATATCCGGTGTCGTCCCTTACAGTGGTGGCACACCGGCGGGGCGGGACCCGCATCCTGATTCGGGCCGGAACCCTGGCTCCGGACTGACCTGAGTTTTTCTTCACTCGAGGTCAGCCTGGAACCCTGCCCTTGGTTTTTTGTGGCGAAAGGGAGGGCAAAAGAGAAAAATATGAGAAAGAGGGAGAACTGCTGGTTCGCATATTATAGTTAACATTCGAAGAAGGCGAAAGTGAAGTGAACATTGTTTAAGACTGGCTGGCGCGCTAGCGATGCGTTCGAAAGAATGCAGCAAATAATGCAAAGCTTAAAAATAACCGTCCTTACCTTCTCCTCACATGCACGCGCGATGTATCCGGCCAAGTATACTAGGGGTGCTAGTTCGAGGTCATCTGGCACAGCAAGCCAAACATTTAATACTTCTAGCTCACAGGAAAGCCGCTTAGCACCGAGGACGACCGCAAGTGGCACGGCCGCAGTGTTGCCTTCTCGGGCTTTGAGTTTTAGAGGTGCATTTGTTTCGGAGCTATGGGGAGCGTTTCCACTCTTAGCAGCTTGGAGGATTCCAACCTGGGGAAAAAGTGCGTAGGTTACATGGGTGTGCTCTCCAACGGGCACCAAATATATCTTTAACAGCTTTCGGCTGTGAAGACCGCGGTTCTTGCATCAACTCTATCGTGCCCTCCGTTAAACTGTCGAAAGCAACTGAAGAGGGACTCCACGGGGTCGCTGTTCAAGGCACGGGTCTAGACGTAGGCGAAAGCTGGAAAAAAGTTTGTTTGATACCTAAGTCAATACACATATATGTAACTGGGATAAAAAAATATGAAGGTGAAAAAAGAAAAACCTACTTGTTGTCAATAGATGTTGAATCAATGCCACAGTTGACCTCGTCGTCATTATCGTTGCCTCGCATGTTTCTTTCGACATTTTCTTTTTTGTTTTGCCACCAGAAAGCTGAATCTCCTCGATGTACGTGATGAAGTCTACTTCAAGCCACGAAAGACGGTCGTCGTCGATCAAGTAGAATGGTTCTTTCCTTTCACCGCGCGGCTTCACAGCGCCAATATTGTGAAGGTCATACCACTTCGACACCATTTTCATGAAGGTGATGGTGGGCAAACAGTCCTGAAATTCTGTCGCATCAGGGTGGCATTGCGGGTTTCCTTGTAGGAACTCAAGCGTTGCTATTACGACTGGGGAGAAAACTTGCGTAGCCCTTGACACTTTCATCTTTTCTAAGTTGTTCGGCTCAACGCGTGACTGTGTTAAACCTCACTGGCTTTACGAGTAGCTGTGACTGAATGCTGAGTAGCTTCTTCAAGTACAGTCCACCTTGAATTAGATTATCTCCGTTCATCATCTCTCCACAAGATTATTTCTGAGGTTCTTGATGAGTTGATTCGGATCAAAAGACAAAAAAAGAGCATCACCTTGTCGAAATGGATGTGGCACTACATGCGCAAGCATTCCGTCCTCGGAAAGGCTCTTGAAGAGCGCAACATTTGGTGATTGTCGGTAACAATCCTCGTTACACGGAAACCCACATCTTCGACTGCCTTCATGACATTCATTGTCATAGAACGAAGTTGCTCACTCCTGAGGCACCGGGTAAAGAAGTACCCACTGTTATTACATAGGCAGTTGATAGCCCTCGCAGGACGAAGCACAACAACCTGTTCGCCACTTGAGGCGTTGCACATGATTGCTGCTCAGGACCCATGCAAACGAGACCGAAAACCTTATCAAGTTGGCGATCGTACATAACTTTCTGCTGTACCGCCATTTCATCGATGATTAGGGAGCAGAAGATTTCTTGTTCGACTTGTAGCGCTTGAAACTCTGCGCGGAGGCGTTCTGTTATGAGTGATGTGACGCCTATTTCGCCTCTTGAGTGCCCGATGTACTTCTGTAGTGTGGCACGACAAGGCAACTTGAACAGGCCTCTTGTTCTCACATACTCGTAACCTTTGTTGGAGCACGCTTTCCAGAGGACGCACTCCCTCAGAATTGATTCAATGTACGCTGGCTTCTTGGAAACGAAATTCGACACTTGATTCTTGATAAGTTCGGCGGTTTTATGGCCTTCGTCTGCGGCTTTTAGTACACTCACAAAACAGGACATTTCTTTGTTGCTTTCGCAAGCTTGAAGCCGTTCACGAACCGTATCGTGCTGGCTTTGGAGCGTCTGCAGTGACTTATTGAGGCGGGAAATTTTCCGCTGCAGGCGGTTCGTCGTTTTCTTCGCATCCTCTATCATGCGCTTAAGGTCAAGGTCTGTTTGAGACATTTTATCTGTACATGAACTGGTTTGACACATACTATCAGCAGGCAATGAACAGTCCCACGTTCCGTCCGAAAACCCGCTTGGTGCAACATGTTCTTGATCTCCGAAAAGATCAGGCTCGACATCTTCATGCCTGCTTTCATCTGGGCCATTTCGTGCACTCTTTTTCACGCAAGCTGATGAACCACCATCTGGTACTTCTCTTCGTGGCCACTTTACTCTTTCACGGCTATTACTCTTTCACGGCCGTCTTGCCACTGCACCAGAACGGCACCTAGACCCACATTGCTGGCGTCAGTGTGAAGTACTGTAGGGGCGTCCTGGTCGAAGTGCGCAAGGACTGGAGGTGTTTGCAAGCGTTGTCGCAGTTTATTGAATGCCATTTGCTCCTGTTCACCCCAAAAGAAGGGGACGTCCTCACGTGTGAGTCGTGTAAATGGCACCGCAATAGACGAAAAGTCCTCTATAAATCGCCGGTAATAGGCGCACAACCCTAAGAAGCGTCTCACAGCCTTTTTGTCACGGGGTGGAGGAAATTGCGCTACGGCGTCTATTTTGGCCGGGTCAGGTTGAAAACCCTCGTGACTGACGACGTGGCCTAGGAAGCCGAGTTCGTTGAAACCAAAATGACATTTTTCTGGTTTTAAAGTCAGGCCGGCCGATCGTATGGCTTGGAGTACGATGGATAGACGGCTGATATGTTCCTCGAATGATGCTGAGAACACAACAACATCGTCCAGATATACCAAGCATGTTTGCCACTTCAGGCCCGATAGTACGGTGTCCATGAGACGCTGAAAAGTGGCTGGCGCCGAGCACAACCCAAAAGGAAGCACCTTAAATTCGTAAAGGCCATCAGGCGTCACAAAGGCTGTTTTTTCACGATCTCTCTCGTCGGCTTCTATCTGCCAGTAGCCGCTTCGGAGGTCCATTGAAGAGAAATAGCGCGCATGACGCAGCCGATCGAGTGAATCGTCTATGCGAGGCAGTGGATAGACGTCTTTCTTCGTGACTTGGTTCAACTTGCGATAATCAATACAGAAACGCAAGCTGCCGTCTTTTTTTCTTGACCAAAACCACGGGGGACGCCCAAGGACTTTTCGAAGGTTGTATGATGTCATCCACGAGCATCTTCTGTACTTGCTTCTGAATCTCCTCGCGTTCTTTCGGAGCCACAGGGTAAAGGTTCTGCCGAATCGGTCGCGTGTTGTCTTCGGTAATGATGCGGTGCTTGGTCAATGGTGTCCGCTGGACCTTTGACGTACGCGAAAAGCAGTCTTCGAATTGGTGTATAAGTCCAAGCAGACGCTTCCTATCAGAGGGCGGTAGCGTGGAGCAGATGTCCACCAACAAAGTTGTCGAGGCAGGGACTGTCGCATCATCTGGTTGCAAAGCACAGCAATCCCCACTTGGTCTATATCATCGAAGTAGGCAATTGCGGTACCCTTCTGGATTTGACGGCGCTCATTGCTGAAGTTCGTAAGGAGCACTTCTGCCTGTCCACCAGTAAGCGTTAGGATGCCTCTCGCGATGGAAATGCCTTGCATGAGCAAAAGAGCGACTATGTGCTCCACTATCACATCTTCATAGGAAGGCCACCCACACAAGGCAGCAGGATCTCGGTGGGAGCGTCACATCGTCGGCTATTCGCAAACTGCCGCGTAGTTCGTCGCTGCTGTCGTCGACATACGGATGTGCGCAAACGTCACCATACGTTGAGGGATGTTGATAGCACCATGATCTCGAAGAAAATCCATGCCCAAAATTAGCTCTTTACAGCAGTCTGGCAACAGGACGAAAGTGGCCACGAAGCTAGAATCCCCAATGCGAAGTCGAGCGGTGCATTTACCCGTGGGAATCATCAGCTGACCACCAGCACTCCTTATGTGTGGCCCTGTCCACGGTGTCGTGACCTTTCTAAGGCGGTCGGCGAGTTCTTGTCGCATGATTGAGAAGTCGGCGCCAGTGTCGACCAGTGCTGTAACGTAATGTCCGTCAATGAAAACGCCAAGATCAGCACGTACAACTTCACCGGCATTAGTATTCGTCGTCGTATTCGTCGTGGTTGTCGTCATATCTTCTTGCAATGATAGGAGGAACTTTACGGTGTCTCGACGATTGGCAATCTTGCCCCCGGAGGTCGCAGCAGTTAGTTTCCCCGGCGCGGGCTAGGCGAACGGCCTCTGGTGACGTCCGCGTAGCTCTGAGGGAAGTCACGGTGACGCGCAGGAGATGGAGATCGCCAGCGACGCGGTGTAGTTGCTTGGCCAGTCGACAGTTGATCGGCATCGTGGGCAGGACGGTCTTCAGAGCGAAAAGAAGCGGCACGAGAAAAGTTCCCGAAGCCGGAACCGCTATGATGGCAATAGCGAGCAATGTGACCTGGTTCTCCGCAGCGGAAGCAAATAGGTCGACGGTCGGCCATGCGCCACAAGTCAGTTCGGCGAACTGGTGGTCGTCTCATGGAATCCCGTTGCCACCAGGGTACGGCCGCAGGTCGTGGCTGGAAGGGTGTCGCCACAAATGACGGTGGAGGACGACGGACCACATCAGCGTAGCTCGCTGGATGTGGCTCAGGATTTGGCGCCAGTGGTGTAACGGCTTGCCTCAACTCCTGGCGGACGATTTCGGCAACAGATGCGACGGGCGGTTGGGTAGGAGGGACGCAGAGGGCCCGAAGTTCCTCACGCAGTATTTCCCTAATCATTTGTCGCAGGGAACTTTCACACACGGCAGTGTTCCGAGCTGCAGCACTTACTGCCGTGTGATTCGGCAGGCGGTCAAAGTGTCGGTATCGTTGTCG